CCCCAAAACCCCAAAACCCCAAAACCCCAAAATCTAAGATCATGAAGAAAATATATAATTTTATAACTAATAATCTGAAATGGAATGTTACAACTCGAGAGGGTACAAGGATTACATCCCTCTAAGCTTGGTTAAGGATGATATCAAGAAAAGGATCCGGTACTGCCAGATCAAGACTGAAAACTATAAGGTCTTACTTAAATTATTGAAGGAAGTCTCTCAAGAAGCTAAAAAGATTAATGAAAGTTCAGATCCAGAAAAGACTAGGCTTGAGCTTGAAAAGAAGGAAGAAAATGAGCTGAAGAAGTTGAAAGATGCTCTTGATCAAGAAATGAAAGAAAATAAGAAGCTTAGACTTCAAAATGAGAAACTTCTCAATGAAACTTATAAAACTAACGATCTTATAAATAGGCAAAGGAGGAAGAACCTGTTGATAGCGATTCATTTAGGTGACAAGGACCATAAAATTTTCAAATATCCTCGCGAAGCCCTCTTATATGTTCCTCCTACAGAAAGTGGAATGAAGAGTAAGAAGAAGATCAGGACTTTATACAAGAAACAAGAGGTGTCAACAAACATTTATAAGTAAGCTCTTGGTTAAATTTTGAAATTCTTAAAAATTGCATTTAATCAAGGGGCTAAGAAATATATAAGCTTCGAGTTTTAGACCATAATCTAAAAGGATATCCTAGAGCTTAGAGTGTACGCATTGGGTATCCTGAGAGACTAATAGGAGTATAGCCCTCTTGAATAGGCAATAGAGATCCCTTCTTAATCGTAATCACTTTAGGTTTTGATAGTTAAAGTTAGAGGAAATATAACAAAATTGAAAATTTAATGGAGATTTGATCAATTTTAGATTCTTTAGTAGTAAAACTTTGTTCAACTTTTATCCAGCCTTCTTTGAGAATCTTTTGGGCTGGATCCATGTTAGGAGGAAACAGATTATAAGAGGTAATTTATTACAACTTTCTTCATAAAAAGCAATATTTTACTCACTCTAAGTTACTTGAATGAAGTGAGATATAGTATAATATAATCTTCAATCATGACTTTTCAAATCATGCTTTGGTTGCTTCTACTTCAGCTTTAAAATACTTAAGAAATAACTTGATGGTAGTTCTAAATAAAAAATATGTAGAATGTTCTAAATATTGTTTGATTATTTCATCAGCACTAATAATGCATATAGGAACCAAAAAAATCATTAAACCTAAAATAAAGAAGGTAGTCTGAGAAAGATGGGACTAATAACTTCTTTATAAATATTTTCACATAAATTTACATGAGCAAATGAATGATCTCTTATACATATGATTAAGATGGTGAAATGAGCTTTATCGAAAATATTAGCTTACATAGAAGCCCTTCACTCAATAATTCATTTCCTTAAGCAATATTTCCCTTCTAAACAAGGGAAAAAGATTAAATTCATGTGCATTGTGTAGACGTATCAATTTGGTTATTTTTATTAAGGGGAAATCAGTGGGAAATTATCATCAGCTTAGGGAAACCAGGGAAGCAGAAAATACTTCAAATCGATTGATCTATACTCAAGAAAGCAGAAATAGTGGTGAAAGTGTAAAACCTGTGGGGCATTTATAGTGAATATTAATTTAGCTGTAGATAGGTTGGCATTCTTTAATTTTTTAATGCAAATTTACACAATTCACAAAATTTAGTTTGGGATGTCCAAAAAACCAAATTTCGTTTTATCATATTTTATCTGGAATAACTATAGATAATTGTGAAAAAAATTGAGGCTTCTTTCAGAGGGAGCATTATTATTTTGTTTTAGCGATGAAGTCATGCTTCTAAATAGCTAAACCCTTGTGTGATTAATTTCTTTCAGTAAAATATAAAATCTCCTTAAAAGTATTAAATTCCTCAAATTCTTGACATCAAACCTTAAAAAGTAACAGAAGAGTTAAACATTATCCAAACAACCAATAAGACCACTTCAATCTTCTCCATAAAGACCACAAACACACATCTTTTCATTTCCTTAAATTCCCCAAACCCCCTCCCCCAAAATATCTCTCCCATCCCTCAATTCTCTCTTCTAACCTCTTTTCAACCCCTCTCTCTCCCTCTGGGGTTTTGGGGTTTTGGGGTTTTGGGGTTTTGGGG